AGACATTTGTGGTTTCTTCTTAACTAACATTAATAAATACTGATTCCTCCATTTGGCATCTAGGGCACTTCAAAATCTGTCTCTCTGCTACCTTTCTGGGCTTATTCAACATTGGTCCTAACATTCTATGATTCCATCCACCTTACTCACCATTCCCAATACATGGCATTCCATTTTTTGTCTTTGAGCCTTTGCCCAGCTTAGCCCTCCTACTTGGAATGACTCATTCCTTTTTGTTTTTATCTCTTAGAATCCCTGTCTTACAAAGCCCAATTCAACTACCACCTCCTAGAGGAGGTCCATCCTGATCCTACCAGATGCCAAAGCCTTTCCCTTCCAAGAAAAATTCTTTGAATTTATTTTGCATTTTTTTGTGTTTACTTTTCTGTGTATTTGTCATTCCTTCAATATACTATAACCTCTTTAAAGAGATTTATTTTCTTTGTATTCCCAGTGCTTAGCTTAGGGATTATCACATAGTAGGCATTTTAAATGCTTTAAAAACATTACTTTTAAGAGGCATTTATTCATGCTTTTTTAGATGAAAAAATAGAACATTGTTCTGTTGATTTGTTTACAAAAATTTCTCTAAAATGAATATTCCAGTAAAAATGCTTTTGTTGATCCCAGCTCATATAATGGTTACTCTAAAATGTGTGCATTGTAATCTGGAGAAGGGGAGGGAAAAGTTATACTAGTATATTATATTTAAGATTTTCACAACTCCATTTTCCTGACATAATTTCATTTCAGATGAAATGACATTTCATATCATCTCATCCCTTCCTACCTCAACTATCCCAACCAACCACCCTTTCTGGAAAAATTCACTTTAACTAAAAAAAAACACTTTCCAGAACAATAATATAAAAAGATTTATGAATTTGGAGGGGGAAATGGAAATATCTCATGTATCATATTTTTTCCTTTTACTATATTATATTCCAAATACTTTTTTCTCATTCCCAAATTCACTTTAGAGCTTCTAGTCATCAGTTCTGTTTTATTTCCAGGTCCTGTACAATGGAAATGTAATTTCTAAAAATGTATTTGTTGTGGCTTATATGCAGAAGCTTGACCTTTGACCAGTATGCTTGCCCATCCATGAATAGTCTGATAAACCCTACCCAAGGTCTGAGAAACATTTAGGACCCTTCAAAATCATTACAGCCATTAGCCTTGATTCACATAATTAAAATATCATAGAACCCCAAAATTGAGAAGAACTCTGGTAACACCATTCTCTCCCTTTTGTTTAAAGTAGTCCTGTATCTTAGCTATTCTGATATTCTTAGTAAAACCTAAAATAGTATTCACTTTTGAGGGGTTGGGTGGAGGGGAGGGGGGGGACTGTCATATGATAGTGTTGAATTATATTGATGTAGAAGTCCACTAAAATACCCTAGGTCTTTTTTTTTCTTCACAAATTGCTAACCAGACACGCCTCCCAATTCTGTACTTAGGAAATTGATGTTTAGATGTAAGCATAGAACTTTACATTAACCCATCTTAATTTTCATTTTATTAGATTCATCCTTTCATTTTGGCTTATTAAATTTTTTTGAATCTTTCATAGATTTAGAGTCAGCTGACCTCCCTTCATATCTCTGCTCAAATACCTACTAGCTGCATGATTATAATCAAATTACTGAACCTCTCAGAGCATGTTTGTTCATCTGTAAAACAGAGATAATACTTGCAGTAGTAGAGGCAACCTGGTGTAGTATTTAGGGTTCAATTTCCAATCACACACTGGCTGTGTGATCCTGGGGAAGTCACTTAACATCTCAGTGCCACAGATAGGACTTAAGACTATAAATTGTAGGAAAGTTTTTAGTCTCTATTTGTAGTTGGAATTTTCTCAAGGAGAGTTAACTATACCAGTGAAATCACAGGTCTGGACCAAAAAAAAAATTGTACTGCCACAATGTTGTGAGAAAAGGACTTTGCAAACTTTAAAGTGCTTTGTCATCATCATCAAAGTTATTATTCAAGTTGGGAAAATAACTTAAAGAGCACACATCCAACCTGAAATCCATCCCTATAAATGCGAGTGGTGAACATATTTTCAATGACTATGAAAGAAAAAAAATTGATTTAATTTGTTTTGGAAATTATTGCTCATTATTTTGAGTATTCTGAAGTTCAGTCTTATTTGGAAGAAAGAGAAAATTCAGTCTACAGGAAATAACATGTGGGTTATATTACAGTCTGGCAATTCGGAATATTGAGAGAAAAGTAATAAGAAAAGGTAGCTCACCACATAGGAAATACTAATGTTTCTTCAGTGTGCATTCCAGCAAAAATCCAGAAAATGAAAAAAGCTGGTGAAGCCATCATTTTCCTGAGACTTTACAGTTGTTCTTTTTAAAGATTTTTAGAAAAAAAAAAGAGAAGAGCTTTATTTGTTTACCTGAGACTAAAATAATACTAGACTATTCTTTTTTTACCTTTCTTTCCTCTTCTTCCCTTTTCCTCTTTTAGCATTGCCCTATTAAATTCCTCATCATGAGGTATAGGAAGAGGTCTCATCCTTGGGTTCTATCCTTTGAACCCTTCAGGGTAATATATGGTTAGGAGGAGAATTTTAAGAATTTTAATTGTAAGAGAGAGGAAGATATAGATATAGATCAATATATAGATGCACATACAGATATTATATCTTCTTCTCTTTTCCCTACTTTAGATAAGACCAAAACCTAAAGAGTTTTCTCAACTTTTATAGTCTCTCACTATCTATTGTTCAGTCAAGCTGTGGACTTTTTCCTAGATAAAGTTGTACCTGGTACTGAGTTTTACAACTTATGTGACCCAAAGAAAGCCATTTGACTTCTCTGATTTTCATTTTCTTTAATTGTAAAATGAAGACAACAACATTTGTACTATTTACCTTGGGGTTGTTCAGAGGAAAATGCTTTGTAAACCTTAAAGGAAAATATAAATTTGGATTATTATGATTATCATTGTCACATTATTTTTACTACTAAATTAAGTGTTGAAATGGGTCAAGCTGAAACTCTTATTTTCATCAAGTTAGAAGATCTTAAGGTCCTATCTGGTAGGGTTGAGCAGACACATTCACCAAGGATAGGAGTCTCTTTTTTGAGAAAATTTTCTTGGTGGAGTTGTAGTCACTCATTTCTGGCTTACATTAAGTACCACTACACGAACACTTCCTTAAACAAAAGTTACCACTGGAGCCTCCTTATTGTATAATAGAATCACAAAAAACTATAATTTCAGCCTTGCAAAGGAGCTCAGCAGCCACTAAGTTCAACTCATACCCCCAAAAGAACCTCCTCTCCAATATATCTGAGAATTGGGTACCTAGCCTCTACCTGAAGATCTTAAATGAAAGGGAACCTGCTACATCCAAAGGCAGACCATTCGGCTTTGGAAGAGCTTTGTTGGTTATCAAGTTTTTCATGATAACAAGCTTAAATTCGCCTTCTTGTGATTTCCATCCATTAATCCTTATTCTGCCCTCTAAGACCAAAAAGAATGAGTAAGAACAAGTCAAACACTTCTTCAACAGCCCTTCACATACTTGAAGACAACTATCATATTTCCCTTGTGTTTTCTCTTTTCCAGGCTAATAATGCCCAGTTCTTTGAATTTTTCTTCTTTTGGCATAGACTTAAAGCTTTTTACCACCTTGGCTGTCCTCTTGAAGACATTTTCCAAATTATGAATGTCCTTCCTAAACTGCAGCACCCAGAACTGAATACCGTAATCCAGCTGTAGTCTAAGCATGAAGACCGTTTTTTCATTACTCCTAACTGCAAGTGCCTCCCACCATTCCATCTTATTTTATTTATTTTATATACATTAGTTTAGATATATGTCTTTAGTAATAGAATATAAGCTCCTTGAGAGCAGGGGCATATTCAGGTTAATCTTTAAGTCTCAATGCCTAATAGTGTGCACAGAGTAGGTATTTAATAAGTACTTATTGGTTTTTGATTAACCAAGGCATCATAGAGTGGTTGTATCTTCTTGTTCCTGGTGGCTTTAACTGTTTTAATGCAACTCAACATCAGTGTGATGTTTTGACTTCTCAATCATACTATTGATTTCTATTGATCATTCAGTCCCCTAAATCCCCCAGTTCTTTTTTGGACACACTTCTTTCTAAACATTCCCATCTTGTACTTGTGAAATCATTTTTTTAACCCAGTGTAAGACTTTAAATTTATCCTCATTAAGTTTGACCTTACTAGATTCAGCCCAGGTCTGCAAAATAGAGACTTAACCATCAACCTCAGCTTTGTTGCATTCTTGTGTTCCTCATGAAAGTTGCCCCAGTTGGTCACTGATCATTTTGGTTTGATGAGTGATAGATTATCTACTTAGTCTTGATATTAGGTAGTATTTAAAATCATAGAATTTTAAATGTGGAAGGTAGTATTTAAAATCATAGAATTTTAAATGTGGAAGGGACCAAGTTGTTCTCTTTTCCTCATCAAATTGTTGTGTATTTACTTAACTGCAGATGTGTTCTAATCTGATAAGATGCAAGTTCATTGAAGGCAGGATCTCTTTTCTCTTTTTTCTTCATGTCCCTAGGACCTAACACAGTCCTTTCCATGTATCTATCACTCAATAAATGTTTGTTCAGTTAAATTAAATTTTCCCTCCCTTACTTCCTTTATTCAACAGTTGAGAAAACTAAGATTCAAATAGGTGAAGAGTTTTAACTAAAGTTATTCTGTTAATGAAAATAAAACTCAAGGTCTCCTAATTCCCAGGCCATTATTCTCTGCATTCTGTACACTCTGTACCCTATACCCTCTCTAAGTCTTCTCTCTTCAAGTCTTGTGAATAGCCTATCTAAGGCCATGGGCCACAAAGTTTAATCTGTTAATATTAGGGGGGAACTAGTCATAATATATTTCAAGAAGTTCATCTTTTTAAAAAAATTAACTTATTTATTTTTAGTTTTCAGCATTCACTTCCGTAAGATTTTGAGTTTTAAATTTTCTCTCCCTCCCTCTTCTCCCCCCTCCCCAAGATGTCATACAATCTGATATAGGCTCTACTTATACATTCATATTAAGCATATTTTCCCGTTAGTCATGATGCAAAGAACAATTAGAACTAATGGGAGGAACCACGAAAATGAAGCAATAAAACAAAACAACAAAGGAAAAGGAGAGCAAATAGCATCCTTCCATCTGCATTCAGGCTCCAAAATTCTTTCTCTGGATAGCATTTTCCATCATGAGTCTTTTGGAATTGTCACAGATCCTTGCATTTCTGAGAAGAGCTAAGTCTATCAAAGTTAGTCATCACACCATGTGATTTTTACTATGTACAATGTTCTCCTGATTCTGCTCACTTCACTCAGCATCAGTTCGTATAAGTTTTTCTGGGTTTTTCTGAAGTCCACTTGCTCATCATTTCTTATAGCACCATAGTATTCCATTATATTCATATACCACAGCTTGTTTAGCCATTCCACAATTGATGGACATCCCCTCGGTTTCCAGTTCTTGGCCACCACTAAAAGAGCTGATATAAATATTTTTGTACATATGGGTCCTTCCTTTTCCCATTTTTATGATCTCTTTGGGGTATATATCTAGAAGAGGTATTGCTGGGTCAAAGAGTATGCACAGTTTTATAGCCCTTTGAGCGTAGTTCAACTTAGTCCAAGAAATTCATCTTAAGCAAATTTACCAAGTTACTAGATATCTTCCATACATGGCCACTTGACACAGAAATATTCTGTTTTTATGAAGAACAAGAAAATGGCAAGGAGAAGGGGAGTAGACATGTTCAATAACTGAAGTAAAAGTAAGTTACTAGTTGAGGATCCTGCAGTGGTGGAAGTAAATAAAGTTTTTCATGTCTCTGTCACAAAAATAAATGGTTATTTCTATTTTCTGTAAGACCTGGCAATAGGACAAATCACATTGAGGTTGTTGTTGCATTAATACCAGTGTTTTTAATTTTCATTTATCATTTACTTATATTTTATTTATAATATTTTATCATATAAATAGTTTATGTATTACTTGTTATAAGTATTTATTTATTTATTCATCCTGTAATTTGTTTGTTTGTTTGTTTGTTTCTTACATTATCCTATTGGCCATGTCTTACAGAAAATAAAAATAACCATTTATTTTTGTGACAGAGGCATAAAAAACTTTATTTACATCTACCACTGCAGGATCCTAAACTAGTAACTTACTTTTGACCACTTCTGCCTCTTAGTTTTTATTTTTTTAATATCCATTTTAAAAAAAAAATTTTTTTGAGTTCCAAATTCTCTCCCTCCTTTCAATCCCTCCCACACCCATTGAAAAGGCAAACAATATAATATCCATTACACATATGAAGTCATGCAAAACATACTTCTATATTAACCATGTTACGAAAGAAAAAGCAAGGAAAATAAAGTGAAAAAGAAATATGCTTCAGTCTGTATTTAGTTCATCAGTTCTCTAGCTGGAAATAGATAGCAAGTTTCAGCGTGAGTCTTTTGGAACTGTCGTGGATCATTGAATGATCAAAGTAGTTAAGTCCTTCACAGCTGATCATCATTACAGTGTTGTTACTATATACAGTGTTCTTCTGGTTCTGCTCACTTTGCATCAGTTTATATAAGTCTTCCCAGTTTTTTTTTTCTGACACCATCCCCGTAAGCTTTCTTATAGCACCATAGTATTCCATCACAATTATATACTGCATCTTGTTCAGCCATTCACCAATTGATGGACATCCCCTCAATTTCCAATTCTTTGCCACCACAAAAAAGAGCTAATGCCAGTATTTTGGCATCAACATTAACCAAAGGTACTTTGCCTCTCTGTTATCAGTAACTAGAGGTCCTTGATTTGCCAAGCAAAATAGTCAAGTAGTTCTGATGAACTCAGTAGGCCATATTATGTTTGATCATTCAGTTAAGTACTAAATTTAGTTAAGTACTAAATCCCATGCCCTGAAGCATGCTTCTGTAATAAGCCATTGTAGGGCATCAGAGAATCCTAGATATCTGTAAGTAAAGCATGCATTTTAGAAAAGATGGAAGCTATTCTGCTACTAGAATTTTTGAATAAGAGTAATGATCTGTGTTTTTTTTAATCTTTCACAATGTGTAAGTTTATTTCTTTATAGTAACTTTTTAGTCTGGAAAGTGAAAAAATAGTATATTATACAGTTCTGCAGTTCAACTAAGTTGGCTCTTCCTAAGTGTATATTGACTTTTTATGTATGTATGGAACCAATAAAGAATAGACTAAAGTTGCTTGTAATCATGGGTGTTGGCCATTAAAAAAATCTTTATACATATGGTAACTGGCAACTTGAAAGTGTCACGAATTTAAAATGTAAACCATGCTGAGTGAGAGTGAGAGAAAGAGAGAGAGAGAGAGAGAATGCAAGGTAGTGAGGAAGCTACACTGATAAATTTGTCAATCTTCCTGAAAGTTGAATTGCTATTTATAGTCCTTTACATTTTTTTCCTTTTTCAATAAGGACAGCAGAAAAATGTATACAACCCATATTTCCTATTTGGAAATCTACAATGAATGTGGTTATGATCTGTTGGATCCAAGACATGAAGCCTCCAGTTTGGAAGATTTGCCGTGAGTAGCCAAACAACAAAGAATCAGAAAAAAAAAATTACTTTCAGATGTTCAGTTGTATGATTTTCTTTGAAACTTTATAAGTTTCTAGTTCCAAACTTAATTAACTAATACTAGTTAGCAGGGGGTTTTCAGTAATGGTAAATGGACAGTAGTTGTGAGAGGCTGAAATACTCAAAACTGATTTCTTGGGAAAAGCTCTTCTGGATTCCATTCAAGAGAGAAGAGCAAGATATATTTTCTGTTGAATGCTGACATGACAGTGTTTTTTTAAAGATGTTTCTGCAAGAAGCTTCTTTTCTAATTTTGACCTTTTTTCTCAACAAAGTATCCTGATTAGGAAGCTATAAAAAATATGAAAGAAAAGAGCCTTTGCCAAGTCTTTTCTAGAATTGAAAATCAGATGGTGGAATTTTTACTAATTATTGTACAAGTCTTATACACTGAAAGAGTAAATAAATGCATCAGATCTGCTTGAAGAATCTCAGTTTTGGAATAAGTTTACACATACACATATACATATAGACATAGACTCTTCAGTAACCTAATGTAGCATACACATACCACTTATTTTAGTTTGTGCACAAACCAGTTATATGTTCACTGTTAACATTGTCAAATTATTTTAATGTACTATTTTAATTTATCAAAAGAATCTGATCTATTGTAGTAGCCTTCCTTACTGAGTATTCCAAAACAATCTAAAAATATATACATGTATGTATATATATATACAAACATATAGTACATGTGTATATATGTTATATATAGCAATACTCTGTCAGTTACCACTTTCATTTTCTCATTCAGTGAGGAGGAATCAGAAAGAAAACTATATTATTCACACCATCTTCATAAATATGCTTTAAATAAGAAAAATAATATGATATAGGTGAAAAAAGGACTGTATTTGGAGACAGAATATTCTATTTTATTCTTGTCTCTACATATACCATGTGACCCTGATACAGTTGCTTACTTCTTTGAACCTCAATATATTCATCTATAAAAAATTGGTGTAGTAATATTTGCACTACCTGTCTCCCAGGGTGATTGTGAGGATCACATTGCCACACATCACTTTTTTTGTGGCTGTAAAGTGTTTTGTGTGTATGTGTGTGTATATACACACATACATTTATATGCATGTATGTGTGTGTGCATAATAGAATCTATCATAATGATCTTAAAAGGGAGAGGGGTGTTTTTAGGAGTAATGGGAAACAGTTTTGGCAAAGTCATCCCATTTGATGGAAAGTAGTGAATGTCAGGCTGTGATATTTGGACTTGATCCAATATGAAATAGGAAGTCATTGTAAGGCTTTTAAACAAAAGAGTGACATTCTGCAGCAATATTGAAAGAAATTTAATCTTTGTTTAAGATAGACTGTAGCAAAGAGGAACTGAAGGTAGGATGACTAGGTAGGCAGCTATTTCAAGAATCCAAATACAGGTTGATTGGTACTATCAGGTTGTCCTAATGGAAAAAAAAGTGGGGCGGATTCATCTAATAGATGCTACAGTGGAAAAATTAATATGACTTGCTGGCTGTTTGGCTAATAAAAGAGGGAAGAGGCAAAAATGAGCCAAAGAGTAAAAAAAAAAACTTTTTGGTTTTGGCCTTGGGGAACAGAGAGAATCATTGCACAATTGTTAGAAAAGAAGATATTTGCAAATTCATTGAGGGTGAGTTATTTGATTTTAGATATGTTACCTTCAAAGTGGTGGTGACCCATAAACACCTGAAAATGTGGGACTGAAGTTTGGATCTAGAGTGGAATCAGTTAACAAACATTTATTAGATATACATTTGAGTGTCATTAGTAAAGGGATGAGGAAACCATGAGAGTGGCTAAATTTTTTGAGGGTAGAAGAAGAGGACAATATTTTTAAGAACTGTTTTGTAGTTGTCCATAGTTAAAGAGTGAGATAAATGAGAGAAATCAATAACAGAGACAAAGATGGAAAAGTAGAAGAAAAACTAGGGGAATCTTTTGCCATAGAAATCAAAGGAGTCAAGGATTTCAAGAAAGAAAATGTTAGGCATGCTTTTAGAACTGTGATTCTTCATCTTGGGTCCAGATTCATATGGTCTATAATTTATTTTTTTTCTTTTCTTTGGGGGGCTAGGCAATGGGGTTAAATGACTTGCCCAGGGTCCCACAGCTAGTAAGTGTTATGTGTCTGAGGCTGGATTTGAACTCAGGTCCTCCTGAATCCAGGGCCAGTGCTCTATCCACTGTGCCACATAGCTGCCGCTGAGATGGTCTATAATTTAAAAGGGGAAAAAATACATCTTTATTTTCATTAACCTCTAAATGAAATTGAACATTTTACTTTGATTATTTAAAAACATAATTCTGAGAAGGGGTTCATAGGCTTCATCAGACTGCTAGAGCATCCCATGACATACACACAAAAATTAATAACCCCTACTGTAGAGGAAATTTAAACCAAAGTCCCTTTCAACTCAGATTCTATAATTCTGTGATTCTGCCTAATTAATTTTTATCAAATATAGCTGTATCAAATACTATTTATTGAATAAGGATGAGAAACAATCACTGTCTTTTGCTACAAAGAAGGACTATGGAGTATATTCATTTATTCAGCAGTCATTTATTAGGCACCTGCTGTATTCTAGGCAGGTAGTGTGAAATAGTGGAATGACAACTGCTCTCATCATCAGGAAAACCTGGGTTCAAGTCCGTTCTCTGTCATATAACCTCTCAGTGCCCCTAGGTAATTTTCTAAGATTCTAAATTGCAGAAATGGTGTCAATTTGCATTGGTGAAGAGAATTTCCTCAGCTGGAATTCACTATACTAATGAAATCACATGCCCAGTCCAAGGGAAAAATAAAAGCCAAGTACTGCGCTACATATATGAAGCCAAAAACTAATTAGTTCCTTCTTTCAAGGAATTTGCATTCTTTGGGGGAATTGAGAGGAGGAGGATATAGTATTAACATAGATAAATGAGTAGGAAGTATATGCAAAGTAATTTTTTTTTTAGAAGAGTGGGCACTAATAGCTGGGAGGATGGGACAGGCCTTGAGAGAAGTTAGGGATTTTACAAAGTGTGGGTCAGGAACAGGGCAAGGGGAAGGAGTGGAGGGGAAAGGAGACTATTCTAGCCATGGAGGATAATATGTGAAAAGGCTTCTTTGTATGCAAAAGAGGGAATTTTGTGTGGAGAGATCACGGGATAGAGAATGAGGAGTCCTGGGTTCTACTTCTGGTTGTGCCATTCATTGGCTATATGGCCTTGAGTGGGTCTCTTCACTTCTCTTGGACCTGATCTCTTTTGGATCAGGTGATTCCTTAGGCACCTTCAAGATCTCAAGTTGGTGGTTCTGTGATTAATGATTTCGAAGAGATCAGATGTTACTTTGGGCCTTGCCTATCTTCTACTTCAAGAACGTATATAAAGATGAGGGAGTTTGTTAGATACATTCTGGATGGATTTATGGTAAATTCCCTCCCATAGGAGGGAATGGGGTAGGGTTTAGGGGAAAGATATTGAGTTCCATTTTGGATTGAGTTTATCTTATTCTTGGTTTGATAACTTTCTGGGCATAGTTACAAATTGCTTTCCATGGCTAGACCAGTTCATAGCTTCACCAATAGTGTACTAACATGACCTTTTTTCCCATAGCCCATCCAACATATATAATTTTTCTTTTTTGTTATCCTTTAGGTGCTATATAAATGCTAGCTGCTATTATTGTTGATGTCCTTGCCATTGTCATTGTTGTCATTTTTATTAGTTTCTTATGTATCTTGGATATGAGATCTTTATTAGAGAAACTCATTGCCAGTCTGATGGGTATGATGTGGAACATCAAAGTTGCTTTAATTTGCATTTCTCTAATTATTAGTGATTTAGAACATTCTTTTATATGATTGTTGATAGCTTGGATTGATTCATTTGCAAACTTCCTGTCCATATCCTTTGATATGGATATCTATTTCCCTATTTGGGATAACTCTTAGTCTTAGAGATTTGAATCAGGTGGCACAGAAGATGGACTATTGAACCTGAAATCAGTACAACCTGAGTCCAAATTCAGACTTAGACTCTTACTAGCTTTGTGACCTTGGACAAGTCACCTAACCTCTGTTTGCCTCAGTTTACTTATCTCTAAAATAGGGATGATAGTAGTACCTGCCTCCCATGGTTGTGGTGAGGATCAAACAAGATAATATTTGTAAAGCTCTTAACATAATAACTAACATGTCATAAGCACTTTCTAAATACTGGCTATTATTATTGTCGTTATTACCATCATCATCCTCATTAATAGCTTCTTATATATCTTGGATATGAGTTCTTTATCAGAAAAACTTGTTGAAATATTGTTTTTTTTCATTTCCCTATTTCCCTTCTAATCTTTACATTGATTTTATTTGTGCAAAACTTTTAAATTTTATGAAATCAAAATTGTCCATTTTATTTTGTATGATCCTGTTACTTGTTTAGTTAAGAGCTCTTCCTGTATTCATAGATCAGAAAGATAATTCTTCCTTGCTCCTGTAATTTGCTTATGATATAATTTTTAATATTTAGGTCACATATTTACTTAAAGCTTATCTTGGTATTTGATGTTGGGCTAAATCTAAGTTATGCCAGACAGCAATCCAATTTTTCCATTAGTTTTCATCAAATAGTCCTTCCTCCAATCACTAGGAACTTTGAATTTATCAAACATCTTCCTACTACTCTATTTGTTTGCTTCTGTACATTGTGTACCTAATCTGTTCCAGTGATCGACCTCTTTTTTTTTTTTAACCAGTACCAAATTGTTTTAATGATTACTGCTTTGTAGTAAAATTTGAGATCTGGTACTGATAGACTTCCTTTCTCATTTGTTTTTCATTATTACACTTGAGATTCTTGACCTTTTGCACCTCCGTATGAATTTCACTTTTTTTTTTCTAGCTCTATAAAATATTCTTTTGGGAATTTGAATGGTATAACACTCAACAAGTAAATTAATGT